GAAGTGAGTTGCTTGGTCGAAGAGGAATGAAAGCTTGGGACAATAGTTTGACACATCAACAAGGTAGCCAGTATACAAGATGCTGTGAAAGAAATCATGTCAGTACTAAGTAAGAACACGATGTGGACAACTCAAGACTAAGATGATCATTTGTGATGTGGAATGAGGTCTGATGGCACAATTGCAACGGAACAATTATAGCTATTTATTGATCAGGTGTCGGAGAAGAGAGCAGCGGTTTTGGCGAAGCTACAAGACAATACCAGCATTGCAAAGGGACCGTCATTCTGTTTCCGTGTCTGCAATTCTTGAATGGGTCTTGCAGATTTGATGTCCGGAGAATCGACCAATGATGGAGAGTCAATCCCGGTGCAGGAACTGGAGCGGGGTGCTGAATGCGGGGGCGGGGTACACCACAGGAACAAGCGCACCTCTCGACGTAGTTTTACGATGTAGACTAGATAAAATGCTTATTTAGAAGTGTAAAGTTAAGTACTCTCCGCTCAATAGACAGAATCATGGCTCACAAGCGCTCCATACGAAGCAGAAGTTTTGCACGAATAATCAACAATAATAGCAATCACTCCGACGATCTTGCCCTTGCTTATCGTTACCTTGCTTCGCTTCGAAGTCAACACTAAGCACCCTTCAGCAGATCATCGAATACAATCGATTATGGAAACCTTAATCTTCGTGACGGACCGGTCTGCTCTGCAAGAACCTGAAATGATGCTCGCACACATCCTTTTCTACCATATCGGGCAGGTGGTTTCCGCTTCGAAGAGTATAAAGATGACTTGAATCCTCCTCATCCAACTACTTCCAGTCATCATCAACTTTCCCAAGTTCTTCAAATACTTCTACAATCCTCTGTCATTATGCTCTCCAACGCCAGAGCTCTATCTAGTCTTGGGGCAATCCTTCTCCAAATTCTTTCCGCTTCCGCAGCCACTGTAGCCAAACGAGCTCCGGAACCATGGAGTAACTACGTCAAGAACCCAATCTTCTATCCCTCTCAAGATGCCGCTAGCTGGCGTTCGATATACGCGCGAAGCATTCAACTCCCTGACAAGTCTCTACTGCTCACCTGGGAGGACTACGATCCCACAGTCGAACAGCCATACTGGCCAATCTACAAGTCCCTCGATGGCGGTGCCTCTTTCCAGAACTTCTCCAGAGTCCATGATCAGGTCAACGGATGGGGTGTGTGGTACAACCCGAATCTCTACACTCTCCCACAAGACTTTGGCGGCTACCCCGCCGGTACTATCCTCATCGCTGGAGAATCTCTCCCCAAGGATTTCAGTGAGGCATACATCGACATATACGCCAGCACCGACGAAGGTCTCACCTGGTCCTTCCTCAGCCACATCGTCTACGGCCCCGGTCCCGAGACCACCACCAACGGAAACAAAGCCGTCTGGGAACCCTTCCTGATGATGTATGACGACCAACTCGTCTGCTTCTACTCAACACAGGTAGATCCAAAGCACGCTCAAAAGCTCGCACACAAGACGACCGCCGATTTGAAAAACTGGAGCGAAGAGGTCAACGATGTCGCAAACCCAGACTACAATGAACGCCCTGGTATGACGACCGTTGCGTATAGTCCCAAGTCCCAGAAATACATCATGACCTACGAGCGTTGCGGTGAAGCTAATGTACCTGGCTGCCCCGTTCACTTCAAGGTATCATCTTCACCACTCACCTTCGACTCCGAGCCTGGCGTCCGACTACTGCCCAGCAACGGCGGTGCAGCGCCAGATGGCAGTCCTTACATCATCTGGACACCTAACTTGGGCTCCGCGGACGGATGTGGAACTTTTATCGCATCCGGGAACGCGGTCGAGTCGATCTTTGTCAATATTGATGGTCTTGATCCGAATGGGTGGAAGGCGTTGAATGTGGGCATGTGGTCGGCGTACTCGCGGTTCTTGAATGTGATTGATACACCGGAAGATAGTGCGGCAAAGGGGGAGAAGAAGCTGTTTATTGCGAATGGTGGGAACATGGGTTGTACCGGTAGTTGCTATAATTTTGTGGCGGATGCACTGGTTGATGTTCCAACGTATCCGGCAACGTAGGAGGGCGAGGGCGGAAAGAGTCAAGTCAATGCTAGCCACTTGGGCCTTGATTCTTTTTTAAAGAATGTAGCAGCGCTTCCAGACTTAGACCACTACCTAGGCTACAGGGTGAACGATCGCCGTTATGACCCACCTTTCAGTAAACAAAGTCCCAGAGATTCCCACTGATCCCAGATCCCCATAGGAACCTAGTTTAGTCCACCCTCTATAGCTCTAACCTTTGTGATAAGGCTAAGGAGGAATATCTGACTGGTTCTGGTGTTTGAGGGTCTGATTTGCCCAAAGACCAAAACCGCCCATTTTCGATCACTTACGACCGATTCGGTACCAGGATCTCGAACTTTCGAAAAGATGAAAATGGAGAGAACCAACCCCTCCTGGAAATGAACGGGCTTCCAAGATTCCCTACCGTACCTTGCGATAACAACGCTCCTGTGTCGCAACTTCCCGATTTGTTTACCTTCGTCCTCGCTTAAGAAGCGTGCTTTCTCTGTCTGGCCAGCAACGTGCCAGGATCTGTTTGGCTGATCTCAACGTCAGAATCCGCAGCTCTTTTCATTGGAAACTATAATTCTTGTCACATTAATCACTCGCGCCCATCATAAATCATCATTAGTATCGCAGTACAACACGATGGCAGACACAAAAAGCACAAGTCTTGCCCCGCAGTCACAGCCTCGTCTCGTAGATGATGTCTGGTACATCATCTTTCAACATGTATGGTAAAGCCTGCGAAGGTATGGTCTGTAAATGTACTGACAGGCATACTCAGATTCCACACTCTCAAAGTGAAGACGTATGGCGCGACAACCCAGATGCTATGGCGTACCGACGATGGCTTCGATCTCTCCGGCTAGTCTCATAGGATCTCGACCGAATCGTCAGACCCTACGCACCCTGACATATTCGAATATTTAAGTGGTTTTAAATCACCAGGGTCACCGTTGCGACTGGTCTTCCAGAGGACCTTTTCCGTGAAGGGTTCAAGAGATATGGAGAGGCCCTCACTTTGAGAGGTTCACTGAGCAACTATCTCCTGAACAAGCTGACAAAGCTACTGGAGGAGCGCAATGCATTGTGTGTTATTCGGTACGTATAGAGTCCCAAGATCGGAACAACGCAGATCATGCCTCGGAAGTTTCCTCGACCACCTCGTCAAAATGCCTGCCTCAGTCGATGGCAGAGCATCAGCTGCTGCATCAAATTGTCTGAAACTCTGGGCTTTGCTTCCTTTGAAAACCCCTTATTTCGTTTCACTGACAGCCTTTTAGATGGGAATTTGCCGTGAGGATAACTATACGGATCACCTCATGAATCGCCTCATGAATCGCAATCCTATGATTCAGATCTCAGCCGTGTTTAATGCCTGTCTCAGGTGCCGGAAATACCCCGCACGTTGTGCATTGGAGGAAGACGAGAATGGGTTTACTATGGTTCGTTATAATAAGCCGAACAAGTCAATACAGCCGCAAATCTCCCAGGACGGCAGATGTCTGCTGGAAACACAAGACGACGCCCGTTGGGAGAACTTTTGATAGTGTTTGCGGCAGTTCCCAATCTAAGCCCCAATACAACATTTCGACAGCTCTGTGTCTTCGTCCACGTCGGCACGACAGTCCTTGCCTTGTTCCGCATGGCAGAATACTACCGTCCGTGGAGAAGCTGAAGCTCGATGAGTGTGAGTGGGCGTGGTCATTGAGTGAGACTTCAACTTTGTTGGACTTGTCAAAACTTCGTTACCTAAGTCTCAGATGGTCGGGTAGTCAAGAATCCATCCTAGATGTACCCACGAAAAAGCTCACAGGGCTTCAGACTTTCAAATATCAACACCGGCTATATGTGTATTATGAGAGTGAAGTGTATTGAACGTTTTTTAGCATCTCTCTTACACGACTGCCGGAAGATGGAGAGTTTCAAGATTGAGCTTTGAGCACTGGAAAGATGTGATATGTATGGCGGATATCATGAAACTTGGTGGCCGGCCCGGAAGCTGAGATTGGTCGACAATTTTCACAACGACACTTTGATTTGTGGAGTCTTGGAAAACCTTCTTACCCGTTGTCCCAATATCTCGGATCTCTCATTGAATATGCCACGTGCTGACCTTTGGCACTGGAGGGCAGAGGTAAGTCATTTTCTTTATGTTCTCCTGGTGTGAAAAGCTCTGTTTAGATAAAGTAATCTCTCTGGCCGACTGATTTGTAGTGCTAACTCCTTAATAGTTGGACTCTTTCCTTTCGGTGGTCGCAGGAGCTCACGTGATTACAGACCCCAACACTTCAGATGGTTCTTTCCTCGCATCGACGATGCTGGCCAGTATGAGCAATGGGTAAGCGAGAGAATGAAGGACCCAGTTGAAGAAGTTGGAGTCTAGCTCACTTGGGACGACTTAAAAGACTTTGAGGATGAGGGTGTATTGATAAGTAGCCCAAAGCCCAACACTGAGGGAGTCGCCGGTCTCCACCGGGACTAGATTTGAGATGCATAGATCGGCTAGGGTAATAAGAAAAAAGAGTATCATCAAATGATGGAATCCTTTGCATGAAGGTTGACGTTCGTGACGGAACTATAGTCTACGTCGTACGTCGTTGTTGATGGACTTCAACACATATTTCTACGAAGGATAGTGATGAGAGACATCTTTTACACGAAATTCCAACAGTCAGTATCTTTTCCACTCTCAAAATACCTTACAAAGCCAAACAGTCTTGGAAAACTGTAACAGTATGCATCTAACCAGCTTTATTGCCTTGCTTGTAAATTGTGAGAATATGGGACAGCCGTGCCCGCCCAATTGCCGCAAACAAGACTCATCGAAAAGTATTGAGTCGCGATACAGACTCTTGACAGCTTCCATACCCCGGAGTAGCGATGGGGAAAACAAAAACAAAAACAAAAAGGAAGAACAGTCTTAATTGCGTTCGCCGGGAATCGAACCCGGGGCCCATCGACACTGAAACTGTTGATCTCAACAGTTACATGGCAACGATGGATTTTACCACTAAACCACAAACGCCTAGAACAGCTGACTTGCTGCTGACTTGTTGACCTTTTCCTTATCTGGCTATGTATAAGGAGTAGTGATTTGGAGCATTTGAGGAAGAGTTTGTGTGGGAGGTGGGACTTCGAGCAGGGATGGGAAAATAAGCGAGGGTTCAATCCCCTCGGGACATGACCCACTCGCGCTATGGGTTACGAGCGATCCCCCTTTATTGTAAAGACTTCCGAGACTGTAAAGATATCACCTTAGTTGTATTCTGGTTACATATGCTGCCTTTTCTTTGCTCGTGCTCTTAACCCGAGATTTGTGGGTGACTCTTTTGAATTGACCTTATGACTCAATTGCCATCTTGTGTGACATGCCGAGAGGCTACTAAGTGCGCCTGGTAAATCCCTTGAAAACTTATCGTGCTGGTTGTAGTTCCAAGTTTAGACTCGAACATAGCTTCGTAAAGGAGCGAGCCATAGAAAGCAGATCAAAGAGAAGGGTAGAGAGCAAAAGGAATCACGTGCACATTCCTTCCAAGCCACCGGAAAACTTGGAGGAAGGTGGATATTCAGAACCTTGAGAACAACAGAATGTCAACACAAGAGCACTGGATTATCTCAAATACCGTAATGTAACCAATTGGATATTTGTATCCGAAAGTGATTTCGATCATTGGAAAAGATAATGGAAAGCAATACCTGCTCGACTGCAGCTTCGAATCGGAGATCTAGCACAAAGGCAAATTACTGAGGAACGCACTCGATGGCGAGAATGGACCACAGCCAATTACCACATATCCAATACTAAATTCCAATCATGAAAGATGCTGTGAGTCAAACTGCCTGGCCGATCTGACGGAACGCAGTCATTCGTTTTCGAGTTTTCAATATCTGAGGTAGAATTTTGGCTCGTTCTACCGTGGTCTTCATTTATATATTCCGCCCATTCCTCCGAGTATCACATCCTTCAAGTTCTTCAGCATAGCAATGTTTGATGGTCTAAAGGTTATGATTCCTGCTCGTCGTTTTTGATGATCCGTAGGAGACTAGGGCTCCACCCCCTGTGAAAGAGCTTACTTCTGCTTTTGGCTTGGAAAGTCGAACTCTCACCTTCACGTGGTGCAAGCTGGAAACACTCCGGTGGCTAAGAGATCCCACCTCACAATTCGATTATTCGCAGACAAATACTAATCAACCCACCCCTCCTCCCCCTTTAGCGGTATCTCTATTGGTTACTACAATTTATTGAGAAGCTATTGCTGCAACTTTTTTAATGCGTTTTGGAAGTTTTATCCGTTGAGTGCTGATAAGATGAGTGCATAAAGGGACTTTTTGTCAGATGCCATATTATTCGAGTTATATTCAGCGGCTAAAACATGCATTTTGGTCCGACTGGGTTGTTGACCCCGCCACCCGTGGAGCCACGAAGCTGACGTTTTTCCATGACCTGAAGCAAGACAAATATTTTTTTCCTCACCGAAAAAGCTCCAGAGATTCGTGCACTAAATCTTCTTGGCCTCCTGCTCGTCTTGGTGCCGTTACACAATGCCTGCAAGAAAATACCCCGCACCACGTGAGCACCTACTGTCTTAAGCGAGATAAACAAACCGCTCATCCCGGCCATGCCATGGAATTCAAGGCTGGTATTGATCTTAAGACTCGGTCCCAGGGAGCGAGCAGAAAGAAAGATGATGCCTCGGTGACTCAGTCGAACTGCGATTGGCGAGCCTCGCAATAATACTTCCCCATTGAAACAAGCTTTGCGATGCTCGTCCTCACCTCCATATCTGTCTTGCAATTTGGACATTCCTTCCAAGGGAGCATGAGCTTCTTGGACACAATCACACCAACCATGGCTCTGCTGATACGTACAGCAAATTCAGGGTGGGCTATTGCTAGGGTAGCATATTCGTCCTTGTGGACGAAGAAACTGTAGTGAGTAGCAATGAAGGCAATGATGTCCCCTCTAAGCATGTATTCGCCTTTGAAAAGCTTGCTGTGCTCTAGCAAGAATGCAAGGCTTTCGACAAATGAGCGTGTACGCCACTCTTTCGCGAGTACCGCCATGTATTTCAATCTCGCATGCTTGTGGAGTCCATGGACTAGCAATCGTTGCGCCGCAACGTACATGTGGGCATGTACTAGTAATGCTCCGCTTCCTGTGACTGATGGGGGCTCCAAGCCGTTAGTAACGCCGGAGATGTCTTGTACAATTGTTTCTTCGATACCAGTTGAACTACTTGACGACGTTGTGGTTTGCGATCTTTCTGAAAGAGTGTCGCTGATAACGATCGGTGTCTTGGCCGCTCCAGCAGAAGCAACTAGGGTAGCCGACTGAGATTCTAATTCATGTTTGTAGCTGCCAGTGTACATGTATTCCAGCACTCTCTCCATTGTGGTGGGTTCGAGATCTAATGACATGTTCCTGGATCTGCAAGGCTATCTTCAGGTCAAAGACAGGTTTTCAAAAGTCGCTCGCATGCGCTGGCATAATCATGTAGACAAACCTTTTCATTCGCTGCATCGCGAGACTTTATACGACCAGATAGCATGCACACGATGTATCTATGCACTCTGAACTCCTTATCTCCACACACGATCGTCAAGTCTGAGTACGCTCCAGTCTTCAACATTCTGAATCTCATTAGCGCTAAATCATGCGACACGGCCAAGGCTTGATACTCAGCATTCCTGGTTTCCAGTGACGGAACTGCGTGGTCTGACTTCTCCAACTCATCATGGTTACGTTTAGTCTGTAGAAGCAATTAGAACAGAGAGTATTCGAAAGAGGTGAACGAAGGATTGAAGGAGAGGTGGTTACACTACCATGGTGGGGTCCAGGTTGTCTGTCTGATCATTCGTCCCTGGTCGTTAGATGCTCCTGGGAAACGATGATCAGGATGACACTGAATATAAGCAGAGTCTACTAAAACTGTGCTATTCATTATAAGTACTTCGTGAAGGAGAAGCTGCGCGATTCCCATCTTGCTTCTAAGCGAGCTGGCAGTGTTTCGAGTGACATGTATGGCCTGCTAGAACATGCGCGTCCTTTGCTGGTGTCCCTCACAGGAATTAACGCCAAACATCCAGGACGCATGCTATTGAGTAGTTGAGTCTGTCGGTGATCATGCAACCATACCATTGCTTGTCTGGCGTTGCTTCCGATACATAGCACGTGATCTGCACTTCTCAAACCACTATGAAAGCGATGAGAGCAGCATGTAGCGGACAACAAAGGCAAGGAGAAATCTTTGACCGTGTCTGGAGATGATCTATTCAATTGAATGATGCCGTTTCAAACTCGCGCAAGGAGCGGTAGCTATCGCATTGCTCACAAGCCCATCGGCAAGACATGCTCTCCAATACCTTGGCGGGAGCCGCCTCCTGCGCCTTATGCATGATCCCATGTAACGGAATTTTAAAGTCGTAAGGTTTTTGATTGGTGATGTGGAGCTTCCAGAAAAATTATGCTTCGAAAAATATTGCCGTTAGTCAGGAACTAGCGTCTTGGAGGGGTAAGAGTCATTCTACTCAGGATTGTAATCTGTTGCTCGAAGAGGCACTCATGCTTTGTACATCATACTTCAATCACAAATCTTCAGTATTTGAATCAGCATCAGATAAAGATTTATGTAGTCGGCTCCTCATAAGTCCCAAGCTCGATCGTTGGAAGGTCGGGAATCCCATCGGAAGTGGGGTAAAACAACACCAACATGGCATCAACCTCAACTCAAACCATATCCCTCGAACCCCTGACGACCTCCCAACCAGCCTCAGAGTCAACCCAGACTCTCACCTCCCGAATCCAAGCCCAAAATGAAAACTCAAACTTCGACCCCGCAGCCGACGCCATAATCGCTGAATCCCGCCTCGCCGACTCCCTCGTCCCAGACGGCGGCTACGGCTGGGTGGTAATCCTCGCCTGCTCAATCCTCACCTTCTGGTTCGTAGGCACGTCTTACTCATGGGGCGTTATCCAAGCTGCTCTCGTTGAGCAGAAACTCAGTAATCCGGCTAGTCTGAGTTTCGTAGGTAGTTTGACGGCTGCGTGTATTTCGTTCTTTGCGCTTGTGAATGCGAGGATCGTGAGGTGGATTGGGGCGAGATGGACGGCTGTTGTGGGTGTGCTTGCGTTGGGCATGGGAGGTGTACTGAGTGGCTTTTCGACGGGGAGTGTGGGGGCTTTGTTTTTTACTGCTGGGGTGGTTATGGGGGTGGGGTGTAGGTGAGTTTCTTCAGTATTTGGATGAATTTGATCAAATGCTGATGTGATGATAGTTTGTGCTTCATTGTAGGTCGCGAGGGACAGACTCTGCATTTCAGGAGCTTCGATACTGACTGATCACAGGTCGTATCTACCATTCCAGCACAATACTTCAACAAGAAGCGGGGTATCGCAAATGGCATCGTTTACGCAGGTGGCGGTCTAGGAGGAACCGTCATCTCCTTCGCCATGGATGGCCTGATCCACAAGCTCGGTGTTGAATGGACATTTCGAATCATTGGTATCCTCATTTTGACTACAGGTCTACCAGCAGCATGGATGATCAAAGAAAGAGCACCTGTCAAGACTTCGAATTTCGTGGAATGGTATGTCCTAAATAACTCACTAAAACAACCAGCAAGACTGATTGTTGCTCCAGGAGCCTCTTCAAGAACATCCGCTTCACAACTCTTTTCATTGCTGGAGCGATTGCGACGTTCCCACTCTTCGTCCCCCCTTTTTTCCTGCCTCTCTACAGCTCTTCTTTGGGACTCTCATCCTCAGCTGGAGCAGGTTTAGTAGCAGGCTTCAACTTCTCATCAGCAGTTGGTCGTCTTGTCTGTGGATTTCTCTCCGATTACATCGGTCCCGTCAACACGCTCTTCATCTCTTTAATCTTGAGTGCGATGAGTATGCTCGTAATTTGGCCAGTCTCGAACTCGCTTGGCCCATTGATCCTCTTTGTGATTATCAATGGTGCAGCGAACGGAGGATTTTTCAGCACTATTCCGACTGTGGTGGGAAGTGTGTTTGGAAGTCGGAGA